TAACTCAGCAGTGTATAGAGATGCAGCTCAGGCTTCATTTTTGCACCAGCTTCTAGGAAAATGCCAATCTGTATAAAGAGGAGAATATTACTAATGAAGACTAAACCCACAATGTATCTACTTTACCTGTAGCAAGGCAGACTGACTGCATCACAGCTGTGTCAGGTAGCATGTTGAAACACTGATGTTGAGGTAGATTGCAAGGTATTTTGTAGATGTGCAACTATTATAGCCAAATGAAATACCCTATTTAAATTTGTCAGTTTGGTATATAAATCCAGTAAGAGCAGGACTATTGCAGTAGCTGATGTGGCTCTGCACTGAAATGAGCCTGCTTCAGGTAATACCATACTCTACTGTATATGTAAAAACAACTATGGCTGGTGAATACACCACAGGGTCATCTGGATCTGAAAAGACACGCTTTCTGCAAATGCCATCTAAGGTATGAGGCTGTTTTGTGTTATTAAGAAATATTCATTGTAATGTTCTTTTAACTTTATTCAGACATACAGAAGCTGTTCTGGAAAGAGCCACAGTGTGCGCTGTATTTGACACTAAGCACATGAGACTGAACAGCATGACCAATATACCGAACTCTTTTGTGTGCCGATCGGTCGATTTCGCCGTCTTCAATCAGATGTATTCCGTTTCAAAGGTTTTAGGGTTACAAGTGTGACTTGGTGAGATTGCTGTTGTGACATTTATCAACAAATGAAAAGGTGGAATATTCTGACATTGCGCAACTGTGTTAAATTGCTGTCAGATTACTGGAAAGAACATCTGAAAAGGGCCAAAAACTTGTGGTGGAAACCTGAATGGAGAATTGTGCTTGTTCAGGCAGCATAGTGAAATTTTAGCTCACATTAGCTCATTCAACCACAGGCTCATTCATCATCATTCATCAGCCACAGCTTCCATCCAATAAGGTCCAGTCATTTTTATGCAATTCATTCAATTCTCTTTTATTTGTATAGCCCAACCAATATTAAATATTGCAGTTGAAGGGGTTTGACAGTTATAAAAACATTATCACCTGACATTTCTTGCCGTTTCCTCAAATTTGCAGCTAAAGCGCCGTTCACCTCTGTGACTCTTTTCTTGCATACTTGCATACTTAACTTTTAAGATTGTCAACTTTTATTTGTGTATCCGATTGTTCCGAAGATGTTACTTCCCTGGCAGGAATCTTGGCCCTGTTCTTTCTCAGCGCACTCGCTCACATAGCTCAATATTTTGAATAGTTTTTGAGTACCCTGAAGATCCTGATTCAAGAGGTGCTGTTGCTGCGGAGATGAATGTCTAATGTTTGTATTTTGCATTGAAAAATTCTGTTGTACAGTAAACTACCACAAACTCATCTCCAGTTCATGCCATGCAGTATGAGCTCCTCTACTGATAAAAATCTACTGAACAAGTTTTACATTAAAAGAAGATAATATAAAAGTGAGTTTGGGTATCGTGGCTATCAATTGTGAAATATTCTTCGGTCATGCTTATTTTTTTGTGCTACTTCCACCATAGATTTATATACTGAACCCTTAGCTGAAGTCAGATGCACTTTAGTCGTGGTTATATGTGACTGTGATGAAATGATAACATTATTACTTACTTATTAGCAGGTTAACGTCAACTGAGAAAAGCCATTACTGTTACTTTATTTATAATCCTCAGACTATCTTTAAAACGTATTTAATCAAGCTTATTAACAACACATTTTCAGTTTTTGCAAGTATATATATAAATATATATAAGGAAATATATTAATTCACAACCGTTGTCTTTAGAGTTCGAGTGTTATTAAATTATGTTATGGTTATGTTTAGGTGAATCAATCATCATCTGCTTTAATACAAAGCAAGTCCATATATTTATTCCCTTTCTTACTCTCTATCCATCACAACCTCCTCTTACTTGTTCTGCAGTTCACATATGTTTTACATTTTTTGTTCATTGTTTGTTTTGCATAATCCACCCAGTGATAACTTTAGAAAACGGTTATGATAT